CGAGGTTATTCCGGCTGCTCACTTTGACATATGTATATGGGTATATGTGCATGAGTTGTCGATTTTGACATTATTGTTACATTATTTCAGTATGGGCATGGCATGGCATTTATTTTGCAAATGACGGAAATTAAACTCTATTTTCGAGCATGACATGGCATATTTTATGTTAGTTCTTAAAATGGATTTAATTCTAGACTGCTTTTAAGAAAAATATTTGATTCAGGTACGCATGGCACCTCCGGGACAGGGGACGTCTCGGGAGATAGAAAGACGGGTTGAATGAGTGAACTGCATCTGATGTATTATATGTAAATTCTAACTAGAAAAACCTCCCGTTTTGGGAGTATGTTTTTGTAAATATTTATAAACTTGTTTTTTTTGGGAATAATATAATGCTTATATAATTAATTTTAGCCTTAACACTGTGTTGTGGGGCCCGAAGTAGGAGGTGACGACCTCATGATGCAGTGTGGCGGTAGCATTTCCAGTATGAGCCAACTGGGGGTGTTACAAGTTGGTATCAGAGCCTAGGTTTGATAGATTTTGGCTCTTTGAATTAAAAAGGTTTTGAAAATAATAATGATATTGAATTGGTTTGGTGAGGTTTGGGTTTTGCGGGTGCATTCATGTCAATGTGATCTATCTTTTATTGTTATGCTTGGTTTAGCTGTGTGCTGAATTGATATTGAATCAGGAAAAATTGGGGGCAGTATGTCGAATTCTCGAGGTGGTGGTGTACGTAGGGCTATTCAAGGCCCAGAGTTTGATCCTTCGTCTGATGAGTCACAGTATCCTGTGCCAGCGCATGTACCAATAGAGGCACCTAGTCAGGATTTCTTTCGGCAGTTTATGGCCGCGATGATGCCTCAACAGAGGAGTTTCATTGATGCTGTGATGCGGCATAACCCACCAACATATTCTGGTTCAGTGGAGCCAGGAGTCCTTGAGTTTTGGGTTGAAAAGATGGAAAAAATATTTCGTGTTGTTCAGGTTCCGCCAGATCAACGAGTTAATATTGGAGCCTATTTCTTGGAAGGCCGAGCAAATCGGTGGTGGTTAGGTGAAGAAGCTGCAGGTGTAGACCAAGTGGATATGACTTGGGATGAATTTAAAGCAAAGTTAAAGGCTAGGTTTATACCGTCGCATATTCGAAAAGCGAAGAAGCAAGAATTGCTGGACTTAAAGCAGGGCTCGATGTCAGTTGAGGATTATTTTGTGAAGTTTAATGAGTTGGAGATGTATGTTCCTGACTACTTTTCCTGTGAGCGAGACAGAATTGACCATTTTGTAGACGGGTTGCAACACAGAATTCAAGAAGCTTTAGCGGTGTTGGATATCAGTTCATTGTATGAGGCTTACGAGCGTGCTGCCCGATTTTATCAGAAGCAGGAAGTCAGACAAAAGGAGAGTGAGAAGGAAATAGGTTATCAACATCAGGTTCGAGATAAGGGAAAAGCTAAAGTGGAGGATGAGCCCAAGGGTAAAAAGAAATGGTGGCAAATGTTCAGGTCTGGGCCATCGTATAAGGGGATTTCGATTAATGAACCGAGTCAGGAGAGGTCTCAGCAATCGGGGGCTGTTTGTCGGCGTTGTGGAACAAGCCACCCAGGTACTCGTTGTGATAAAGTTCCATTGACATGTTTTAAATGTGGTGGTAGTGGTCACATTGCCAGGTTATGTCCAAGTGTGGTAACTGCAAGGGAGTTTCCAGAACCGAGGTTTAGGCCATGGCAGCCGCCGTCTTCGCAGTCACAAGGGAAAGGATTAGGATCATCTTGGCGAGGGGGACGAAGTCAGTCACGTTCGTCATCTAGGCAGCCAGGCAGAGGACCTGACCAGCGTGGACGAATAAATGTTCTTACCCAAGCAGAAGCTGATTATCATCCAGGTGAGGTTTTAACGGGTAGATTTCTGGTTTGCGGTTTTCCTGCTCTTGTGTTATTCGATTCGGGTGCAACGTTCTCGTTCATATCTAAGCGTCTAGTTAGACGATTGGGTCTGAATTCATCAGTAGAAGTGGTAGTGGAAGTTTTACTTCCATCAGGAGAAGTGCTGGAATGCCGAGAGCTTTTTATGCAGATTCCGGTTAGTATTGAAGGGGTTGATTTTGTTACTAACTTGTTGGGCATCAAGCTATCCGAGTTCGATGTAATATTGGGGATGGATTGGTTAGTGGCATATCAAGCTCAATTTGATTGTCGAAAAAGATCAATTTCGCTGGTTGGAGCGATGGGCGAACAGGTGAATTATGCAGGATCTGCCAGACAACCTTCTATGAAGGTAATTTCACCCCTATCATTTCAATCATTTATTCGTAAGGGGTTTCCAGTATATCTGTGTGAGGTAAGAGATTTGACGCAAGGGGAGCAGCGATTGCAAGATATTCCTGTAGTCCGAAATTTTCCTGATGTATTTCCTGATGACATTCCGGGTATGCCACCAGCTCGTGAGGTGGATTTTACTATTGATATTGTGCCGGGTGCTGAGCCAGTATCAAGGGCTCCATACCGGATGGCACCTTTAGAACTAGCCGAACTTAAATTGCAACTACAGGAATTGCTAGATAAGGGTTACATTCGGCCTAGTACATCGCCTTGGGGAGCTCCAGTTTTATTTGTGAAAAAGAAGGATGGAAGTTTGAGGTTATGTATTGACTACCGTGGACTGAACAAAGTCACGGTGAAGAACAAATATCCTCTTCCGAGGATTGATGATCTATTTGATCAACTGGGAGGTGCAACTATATTCTCAAAGATTGACTTGAGATCTGGATATCATCAGCTAAGGATTGCAGAGCATGACATTCCGAAGACAGCTTTTCGGACTAGATACGGGCATTATGAATTCACGGTTATGTCCTTTGGGTTGACTAACGCCCCGGCTGCGTTTATGGAGTTGATGAATAGAATTTTTCAACCATAACTCGATCAGTTTGTGGTGGTATTTATTGACGATATCTTGGTCTATTCCCCAGATAAAAAGACGCATGCAAAACATTTGCATGTAATATTAAACATATTACGTGCAAGAAAGTTATATGCCAAGTTATCCAAATGCGAGTTTTGGTTGAAGGAGGTTGCTTTCTTGGGGCATGTTGTTTCTGGAAAGGGTATCTCAGTAGATCCTTCTAAAGTGGCGGCAATCATGGATTGGCCAAGACCTACCAATCAATCAGAAGTAAGAAGCTTTTTGGGTTTGGCAGGATATTATCGGCGATTCGTTCTTGATTTTTCGAAGGTTGCAAAACCATTAACTAATTTGCTGAAAAAGGATGCAAAGATTAACTGGGATCACGAGTGTGAGTCATCCTTTTTAGAATTGAAACATCGATTAACTTCAGCGCCAATTTTGGCTTTACCAGTGGAAGGTGAGGATTTTGAAGTGTATAGTGATGCTTCGAAGCAGGTATTGGGATGTGTCTTAATGCAGAATCAAAGAGTTATTGCTTATGCATCACGACAACTAAAACCTCACGAAGAGAATTATCCGACACACGACTTGGAAATGGCAGCAGTTGTGTTTGCTTTGAAGATTTGGAGACACTATCTTTATGGAGCCCATTGCAGAATATTTACTGACCATCAAAGTTTGAAATATATCTTCACCCAAAAAGAATTGAATTTAAGACAAAGAAGATGGTTAGAATTGGTGAAGGATTATGATCTTGAAATTGTGTATCATGAAGGCAAAGCAAATGTTGTAGCCGATGCCTTAAGTCGAAAACCAAGGCATAACTTGGGCTTCATGTCGGTTGCTGATGAACTGTGCCAAGATTTAGCGCGGATGGAAATTGAGGTACTTGGACGGGGTATGACTCGGGGATATTTGCAAATGATACAAGTTGAGCCTGAAATTTATGATCGCATTAGAGCGGCTCAAATGGAAGATAATAAAATGGTTGAGCTTGCAGTGAAAGTTCAGTACGGTCAGACTCAAAATTTTAATATTGCTCCAGATGGGAGTCTTCGATTTCACGGGAGGTGGTGTATCCCAAAGGATCGAAATGATTTGAAAGAGCAGATTATGAGTGAGGCTCATAATACACCATACTCAGTGCATCCGGGGGGAAATAAAATGTATCATGACCTACGTCAACATTTTTGGTGGAAGGGCATGAAGAAGGATGTAGCCAAATTTGTTGCACGATGTTTAAATTGTCAAAAGATAAAAGCAGAACATCATAGACCAATGGGGTTGCTACAACCTTTAGAAGTTCCACTCTGGAAATGGGATTCTATCGCAATGGATTTTGTAACAGGACTTCCAAGGTCAAAGTCGGGAACAGATGCAATTTGGGTAATTATAGACAGATTGACCAAGTCAGCAGTGTTCATTCCAGTACGTATGACTTGGAGTATGCAGAAATTGGCCAAATTATATGTTCATTATGTGGTTAAACGACACGGTATTCCTGAGGTGATCATATCAGATCGTGATCCACGTTTTCAATCTCGATTTTGGCAAAAATTGCAGGAAGCCTTTGGTACTCAGTTGCATATGAGTACTGCATTCCATCCTATGACTGATGGTCAGTCAGAAAGAACTATCCGTATTCTGGAAGATATGCTAAGAGCTTGTGCTATGGAATTTCAAGGGAGTTGGGAAGACCACTTGGATTTAGTGGAATTTTCATATAATAATAGCCATCAAGCAAGTATCGGAATGGCTCATTTTGAAGCTCTTTATGGTCGAAAATGCAGAACTCCTTTGAGTTGGGACGATATGAGTGATCGACTGATACTGGGTCCGGAAATGATTGAGGAATCGAAAAATAAGATTCGAATTATCAGAGAAAAGATGAAGGCAGCTCAAGATCGTCAAAAGAGTTATGCCGATAGAGCCCGACGTGAGGGTCAATTTCAAAGTGGAGATTTTGTCTTATTGAAAGTATCCCCAATGAAAGGTATTAGAAGGTTTGGGATTAAAGGAAAATTGAGTCCGCGTTATGTTGGACCTTATGAAATTGTCGATCGAGTTGGTGATTGGGCCTATCGGTT